GATTCAGTTTTTAGATGCCTTAGATGAGAACTCTATGCCCAAACACAATTGCACATAAGTGCAAATGCATCCACTTGCACTTTTCTTGAACAGAGCTTAATAGTAATCCCTAATTCCTAAATTTACTATTAATTTTCGTCATTGATTTTTCAGAAACTTCTTACACACCAAACACTTCCGCGTGTTAAAAAAAGGTCAGCTGGCATGCTTTTGACGACATCTATTAGAAACTACTTGCCCCACAACGCACTGCAAATTTTAAACCTAAACAAAAAAACTAGATGAAACTCAGCTTATGACCAACTACTGCTTCCATAAAATCTAGTTTTCAAGCAATGAAAGGCTCTTTTTGAGATTTTAAGTCATCTTGCTCATCTTCTGAATACATTTCACTTCCATACAACTAAAACCAGCTTTAAGTATAAATTCAGTGACACAACCACTATTTAGTGTATTTTCAATTTGCATAATAAAAACCTGAAAAAAGGGCAATATAAATGCATTTTCTTCCAGTCACATGACAACACAGTCATTCTAATTAGCAGAATTAAAGCAACTTTCATAGTAATAAACATAGTTAATCCAGCAAATAATAATAGTGATAATAATAGTAAGTAATTCCAGGGGTAAATTTTGCCAGTTAGAACAAATACTCTGCTTGGCTCTTGTGGACCCGGTCATCTCAACCTGTGTACGTCTTCACATAATACAGAGATACGAACATCATACAAGGGCATATAAGATTATGCAAACACTCATGGTAAAGTTGAAATCTTGAAGCACTTTTTTTCAACATGCTTGTGTTTTTTCATGAAGGTGCAGTTTTTTTTTCCATAAAAAAAGAAAGAAAGAAAAGTCAAAGGATGGTGAGTTTAAAGTGGAGAGAGCGAACGTCCGTAACAGTGTGTTTCTGAGTCGGTCACAGCTTTGGATTTCTCCCTTTAGAATGGCAAAAAAACAAAAACGTAAGCCTGAGTTCAGTAAACGATGATTTCACCTTTTTAGTTGGACTGACACTGAAGTGATGGTGGAACACTGATGGCATTAAACTGCGCTGTGCAGCTCTGCTGATAGCAGTCGCGTGCTGCCAGACAGTTTCTGAAAGCTAAGTCGGGAAGTAAAGGAGACTTGAAGCTGCTTTTTTTTTTGTTACATTTTTTTTTTTTACATTAAAACATTCCATAGAGGATACAATCAACTTCCCTTGCAAACTCACTCATTCATTCACTCACTCAGACATGCCTGTACAGCAAAACATTCGTAAATATTACCTTGAAAATGATCATCAGTATTCACAATCTATTTACAGTAGCATCTTTAACATGGAAAGACTCATTTGGATTAC